TTTTTCCTTTCTTTTTTTTTTTTGGATGCTTTTTTGTTTCAGCTCTTTCTTTGCAGCAGGGCTGGGATCCAGCCTCCTGCCCCATCCATGGCATTTGACTCTCCTCCTCGGATCGAGGAGAACCGGGATGCATCCGAAACATTTTCCCCAGCACTAGCAAAGCGACGTGGCTCTGGAAGCAGCCTCCCGTGCTGCAGCCGTCCCCAGGACTTCACCTGGGGCTGGAACCAGAGCCCTGGGGAGGCAGCGGAGAGGTTTAATTTCAAAGGTCGGCTCAGGCAAATAGTTTTATTTACAGTTCTTTAGATTGTCCTGTTCGTTTCTCTCCGCCCACGCCAGCGGAGTGGGAAGGATAAACCTCCCGGGGAGAGGTGCAACTTAATAGGACTGGAGTTGGTGGTGGCAAAGACGAGGATTCAGATGTTGAATTAAGCAGTTCCAGGAAACATCTGTCTCAGTTCTTAGCTGGTGGAGGTTATACCATGAGAAAAGAAATTGTTAGGCTTTTTTTTTTTCTTTCTTTAGGAGGAAATGGTTCCTTTCTTAGCATAAAGGATGCAGTTACGTGCCTGCAGCATCACGTGGGTTACAATCTCATCCGCACCAGGAACTTCTGTCAGCTAATTTTCCCCTGCCCGGGCGCAAGGCGCTGTGCCGCGTGCCCCCGTGGCCGGCAGCCCCTTCCGCCGCCCGGAGCGCTGCGCCGGCAGCACCCAGCCGTCCCGCGTGCTCAGGGCTGGCAGTGGAGCCCTGGGGCTCGCAGGGGTAACCGGGACGTGTCCCCAAATCGCTTTGTCCTGCTGCCTTTTTGCCCACGTGGAGGGATCTCTAGAGGGGAACTGCGTTGCTTTGTGCTTGCAGCTATTCCTCTTGCAAGAGCCCAGTGCCCTGGGAAACTAGCGTGTTTCCAGGATTTTCAGGTGACATAAACCGTTCTTCACATTATAGCCGTTCCTCCTGCACCGACCCTACCGGGATCCCAAACGTGGGAGAGACAGTGCCGAGGCCTTGCTGGTGAGAAGGAGCTGACAGCAGCTGCCTGCGGGGGCTAAAAGCAAATGCTGCCCTGGGATGTACTCGGGACAGAAGGGCTTGATTTGCAAGGTCTCGTCATGCCCATCCCACTGCCTTTTTGTTCCTCCCATTTTATTTTTGTCCCCCCACGCCTGCCCAAGTCCTTCCTTCAACCTCATTCACCCTGAAACAGCGCGTGGGCTTTCCCTGGGGGGCTGCAGAGGCTCAGAACGAGGTCACCTCCCGGGGGGTGATGCATCCAGCTCTGGGGCTTGCAGCAGGCAGCCCGGCAGCCTCTGGGTGCTTGAGGGGCGATCGCTGGGCTGTGCAATAGCGAGGAGGCTGTGCCGTGCCCCCACCTCCCGTGTCAGGGCTCTGCCTGCCCCGAGCAGGCTGTGCAGAGCTTCGGGGCAGGACTGCTTGTCTCTTTCTTTTTTTTTCTTTTTCTTTTTTTTTTTTCCGGGCTGTGCTCAAGGGGAAGTGGTGCCTGCCTACTCCACCTCTGCCTGGCAGACCCATGCCGCTGCAAGCAGCGGGAGAAGCTTGCAGCAAGAAGCAAGAGTTCAGACGAGCCTGCAGGGTGCTGGAAAGCTCGTGGCAAATTTTGGGAGAGCTGTAACAGGCGAATCCAACCTCCGCCTCAGCTCCCCCGTCTGCAGGGCAGCATCGTGGCTGATTTTATTCCTGCAGGCATGGGCTGAGCTGGGTTTTCCACCAGCGTAGGTGGCCCAGCCAGAGCCTGGGAGTGGTGGCAGAATACCTCCGGTTTAATCGGTGCTTTTTCAGATTGGAGCTAGGAAATGCATTTTGGGGCTAGGCGTGGCAGGGTGGGAAGGGGATTGTCACTGACCCCGGCAGTATGATGCTGGGAAGTGAAGGGCAGCGGTTTGGGGGTACAGGGAAGCGGGCTGATGTGCAGGACCCCTGCTATAGCAGAGTTCACGGGGAATGACTGATGCGCAGAGACGTTAATTGACTCTCCTGTATGGTGCAGGGGGTTTGTAACGGGGAATCTCCCCATCCCTCGCTGGCCCTCTAACCCGCGCTTGCAAATCCTCCTGTCTGTGAGCTTGGGCTCCACTGAACAATGCACCCCATTGATTCCTGACCCCGGGCTGGGTGCTCCCAGCTCCCTCTGGCCTGGCTCTTACAGCCAGGGCTAAGGAAGGGCTGATGCCGCAGCCTGCGGGACGCCTGGCTCGGGGAGCGTGTGGACCCTGCTCCCGCCGCGTGAGTCACCGTGCTGCGGCCGGTGCTGCCAGGGTAGCGGCGGCACAGAAGGTGCTTTGTGCCGGCTGCAGGATTACTATGGCAATTGGGGAGAGGGAGAGCAAACAGATTAAGCAAAATATCGGTCGGGATGGGGGACGTTTCAGGGCTTCATGTAGAGGTCTGGCAGGTAACTGCCTGGGGGTGCTGCATGCAAACCGCTGTCTGCATTTCGGAGCAGGTCACGGGGGAGAAATGCTCAGTGCAAGGCTCCTGGTCAGCAGCGAGCTAAATCCATCCCCCTGGATGGGATGGGATGTGTGTTCATGGTGAGCTCCCCAGCTTGCCTGGGTGCAGAAGGACTCTGGGGACCCCAGTTTTTAGGTTCTGTGGTCAGCCTCCCATGCTGAGTAGCGAGAGGCTGGGTGCAGGAAGGGGAGGCACTTCTGAACCCATGGATGGCATCTTTCCTTTGGCTCCGTCTTGCGTTTGCTCCTGTCATTGCTCAACCAGGTATTTTGCAAAGTGTCATCAGTGGGCATGCTGGGCTATTGATAGTCCCCTTTCCAGCCCTGCTGGGTGGGTGATGGGGAAGGGAAACTTTGCAGACTCACGAATTAGAAGCTGTGATTGCCGTGACATGGTCAGGTCTCCAGAGATGGTTTCCAGCCAAGCGGGATCGGTTTGGGGTGGAGCGGCTCGCTGGCTGGTTTCACTGAGCTGGAAGTTCACATTGCTCTTGTAGCTCACAGGAACTGCGCTGGTCCCAGACCTTATGGGCCGGCTCTGATGCAGGAAAGGTGGCAGATAAGATGGGGATATGGACTGATCCGTGCTGATTCCCTCAGCAGGGAGGGCTGCTGCTGGTCCCGCAGTTGGGACCTTTGCAGTATCTTGCAGACCAGCTTTCACCCGCAGCCTCAGCGAGGTTTGCATTTGGGGAGGGACAGGACTGGTAAAATGAGTTTCAGGCACCTGTTTTAGCTGAGGCATCTGGAGCTGGCGGGGGACAGGGATGGGGACGGAGGCTGGCTGTGCTGGGAACATGCTGGACAAGTATCGTCATTCTGTCTCACTGCTGCTGCGGGAGCTCTCGCATGGTGCTGTCTCTCCTGCTGAAATCCCAGCTCCTCGCCTTTCCCCCTCCCTTCCCCGGCAGCCTTCGCAGTGCTGGACTTTGTCCGCATGCCTGTTCCTGGGAGCCAGGCAGGTAGGAGCCATTTTGAAGGGCTGTCCAAGGCCATGCCGAGCTGTCTGCTCCCAGCCCGGTGCCTGGAGCACACCTTGCTGTTTGTGCTTTTTAATGCATCTTCCAGGTCTGTGCAGCCAGAATTGCCTTTAGCTGCAAAGCGCAGCTGCCCCCTTGTCTCTCTTGGGGGGGGGATCAGGACTTCGACGCTCTCAGCTGTATCACTTCAGCCCCCATCCCAGCCCCTCATGGTCTGTTTATTTTCCCAGCGAGCTGGGGTAGGTGGGTGAGCTGTTTGCCGATGGAGGAACGGCTGGGGCTTCGGTGAGCAGCCTGGGGTCAGCGGCACCGCAGGGAGCTGATTCTCAGCCCTGCGCAGGTCTCCTCTGCCCATTGCTGCCCGCTCGCCCCCCCCC